TGGAAAACCAATTGGAATTATGCCATAATTGATCAAATTGAAAAAAACGGGCAGCAACTCTATAAAACTATTATGTCCCAAAATTCTAATTCAAACATGGTTTGTAACAAACGGAAATTGCATGTTGTCTTCAATAGTTTTTTGGTCAGATTTACATGCAAATAAAACGCGGCATTATCATCGCCTTCACCGAAACAAGTAGCAATATCAAGACTTGAATTGCTATCCGAATTAAAGCCAATGTGAACACAAACATTGAACAACAATTTTTATTCTCTTATTCAAAATGCAGCAGTCATTTAATAATATGATGCTCAAATCAAAGCTTCAATCAAATTTAAACAAATTCAACATACACCAACAAAACGCAATTGATACCAATTCCTTATCACATTTCGCCATACCCTAAGCACACACTATCAAGCATACTTTCTAGATATTTCCAACATCATATTGTTTCAAATCAAAGAAATAACACTATTTAATCAGCATTTTCACATAGTAACGCAAATGAAACAGTATTGATATCAAAACCAAAAAAAATCCAGATTCAACCAGTATAGCACTAATGACTCAAATAGCAATATCTTTCATCTTAACACAAATAACAACAATGCTAACTAGAGTGAAGAGGAGAGAGTAATACCAAAGCTTGCTGAAGTCGGAAGCAATTCGCGGCTGGTTGCGGAGAAACAGAAACGGCAGATCGGTGATGATGAGTGGTGCCAGAAGTTGTTGAATCGGACAGTGACGGTGCTTGCAGAATCGGAAGGCGGTCTGTTGATGAACGATGGTGATGATGTGAAGTTGGTGAGTTGCTAGAATTGGGGAACATTTGGTTACCGTGAGCATGGATTGTTGGTTGAGAGGAAGGAGGCAGAATGAGATGTTACAGTGTAGGAAGATTGGTAAAGAGAGGGGATTATGGAAGTAGCAGGCGGTGGAATTGAATTTGCGAAATGGGTTTGATGTTGTTATGGAGATAAATGGTGGAATGATGAGGTTAAGTGAAGGTGTTAAGATGAAGCTGCAAGCGGAGAGAGGGAGAGATGGTATGTGGCTCGATGCTTTTGTGTTGTTTGGAAGAAAGAAGAGAAATAGAAAGGTTAGAGAGAGTAAATTACTGTGTTGGTTTTTGTGTTGTGACTCATTACAAAGGAAATAGGCTACTTAAATAGGACAATGAAGAGGAAAATATGATTTCAAAATTAAACGTGTCCGTTTAAAATTATTCAATCTGTATCGATCTGTTATTATTGACAACAACCAATAGGAAAAAGGCAAAGTGTATTTAATATATTTTTGTGACCAAAAACCCCTTAAATGATTAAAATAAAATAAAAGCCTGAAAGTGTTAAAATTAACTCAAATAAAATAATTTTTTTGAACTTTTTCTGAATAAAAAAAGACTTAAAATGACTGAAAACGATAAAAACGGACGAAAATTTATTCGAAAAAATAAAATGAACACGTTAAAATAAACTACATGTCATAAAGATTAAAGAAAAAAATATTCAAAAATTCAAAATCGAAATAAAATGATAATAAAAATATCAGGTTGAACAAATGTTTACGATTAAAAACGAGACTTCAAACTGTACCAAAAAAATAAAGTGAGCATACCGTCATAATCTACGTGAAACGAAGATTCATAAAATGATCAGTAAAAGGTGAAAACTTGAAATATTTTTCTCGTTAATTTTCCGTACAGTGTCGAATCGCTTTTAACAGTCTGTCTGTAAAACCGAAATATTTTTATTATCGACATATAAACAACTTGGAGCAATGCAAGAAAAGAGTAAACAGATAAAAATGCATGAAGTGAAATGTCAGATATTTTACAACTGCAAAACGATGCAAATGTCTATTTAAACAGACTTTTGGTTAGCTTAAACACGACTGGATGTCGCAAATGTGATTAACGAAACTATTTATTAATGATTGTGACCAAATATCAAAATATGATATGAAAATGCGACTGAAAATATTAGGGGCGAAATTTAAGGTGCAACCGCTGAAATCATTTTGAGAAACCTTCTGAAGCAAAGTTGTTCCTCACATCATTAGCTTTTGACTTGTAAAGAGAAGTTGGAGATGACATCAAGGGGGCTCATATGCTCGAAGAATCGCTCAAAAAATATTGATCAATAAGGATGTTATGATCATTCGAACTCAAACTGGCAGACGTTAACTTTTGGTCTGACGACTTCAAATCAACTCACAAACCTGATCTATTTCACAGCCCAAGACACTATTAATCACATATGAACTTGAGACGTCGAAGAAGGTATGGAAATAAACACATGAACCTATCTTGGAGAATCTTGAGAATTAAGCAACCGGACTCGTCTTAACTATGTTAAACGAAACTTGAGGATAACACGACCTAAGATTATACATCATCGCTCTGAGCCATAGGCTTTTGGGAACTATTTTTTGCTTGAACGAGCCATAACCCTAACCGGAGAGTCATCACCTGAACTTCGTGGTCGCAAACCCTGTCTTTCAAGACACAAAACAGACAAAACATATTTTGGAATTTTGGTCAGAAGTCAGTAAAATATAAAATAAATATATATGAGGCACACGATTCAAGGTGCTTGGTGATCTCTCAGGAGCAAAGCTAAAGATAAGGAGAAGAACCAAACCCTAGTATGATCTTGTTATGATCGAGTTGATATGTTATGATAGAGGAATATTAGGGGCAAAAATTAGGGTATAACAGCTGCCCTTATTTAAGTGTCTTCTATCCGGAGATGCGAAGGTTAAAAACTACGTGTCGACGCGATTGAAGATACTTAAATATAAAACAAACCCTATTTTTAGCCCTAAGATGTCATGCAATGCTTATGATTATGAATGAAAATGAACAAATTCAAAAGGACACAAGACACCACTGGGGATGTAGCAAAGAAAACAAGGATCAAAAGAGAAACCCGACCAGGAAAATAAATCACTGGTGAACAAAAGACCTGACTCTATTAGGGGAAATCCCAAAGAGGGGATAAGGTGTCATCAACTCAAAGATTGAGGAGAGACAGTAGAGGATAAAAGTGATTGACAGATAACCGTGAACTACCAACTCAATAAATAAAGATAGAAAAGTAAGAGATACCGACTCACGGATGAAGGTAAACTACCAACTCAATAGTTGAAGACAACAAAGATGATACCAACATTCACTGAAGGTGAACTACCAACATTCACTGAAGGTAGAGAAAAAAAGAATAACACCAACATTCACTGAAGGTGAACTACCAACGTTCACTGAAGGTAGAAAAAGAAGAATATAACACCTACGTTCACTTACGATGAACTTCCAATGTTCACTGAAGGTAGAAAAAGAAGAATATAACACCAACATTCACTGACGATGAACTACCAACGTTCACTGATGGTAGAAGAAAGATGACACCAACGTTCACTGATGGTGAACTACCAACGTTCACTGATGGTGAACTACCAACATTCACTGAAGGTAGAAAGAGAAAAATATAACACCAACATTCACTGATGGTGAACTACCAACGTTCACTGAAGGTAGAAGGAGAATAACACTGACGTTCACTGACGATGAACTACCGACGTTCACTGATGGTGGAGAGAAAAGATAATAATCACCAATGTTCACTGATGGTGAACTACCAACGTTCATTGAAGGTAGTAAAAAGATAACACCCACGTTCACTGAAGGTAGAAGGAGAATAACACCGACGTTCACTGACGATGAACTACCAACGTTCACTGATGGTAGAGAGAAAAGATAATAATCACCAACGTTCACTGATGGTGAACTACCAACGTTCACTGAGGGTAGCAAAAATATAACACCCACGTTCACTGAAGGTGAACTACCAACGTTCACTGAAGGTAGTCAGAGAATAACATTGACGTCCACTGACGATGAACTACCAACGTTCACTGAAGGTAGCAAAAAGATAATACCCACATTCACTGAAGGTGAACTACTAACGTTCACTGAAGGTAGAGAGAGAATAACATCTACGTTCATTAATGATGAACTACCAACTTTCACTAAAGGTAGAGAGAAAAGAAATATAGGACCGACGTTCACTGATGGTGAACTACCAACGTTCACTGAAGGTAGAAAGAAGATGTATTGACAATAACAAGCTTCCCAAAATCATGGCGTTTCACCTAGAGCGAGTCTCAACTTCTTCTTTAACCAAGGAATTCCACCTGGAAAGGGTAGTATATAAAATGTCTCAAATAAAGAGACTACCACTTGTAAAGATTTCACAATGAACTGTCTTTGTGATATTGAAATACTTGCCATCCACTGGAGTAATTTGACAACAAACTGCAAACTATTCACTCATAGAGAAGATAGCAAAAAAGTAACGTCGACTTTTATGGGGAAGTACAAGTTTCTCAAATAAAGAGACCTGTTACTTGCTGTTATAGGAAGGATTGTAAAAATGACTTTCTGGGGAAAGCAATATGGCTTCCTGGGGAAAGAAATATGACTTCCTGGGGAATGAAATATGACTTCCTGGGGAAAGAAATATGACTTCCTGGGGAATGAATCATGACCTCTTGGGGAAATGCCAATATATTCCTGCTGAGGAGATAAAGTCTTCTCGTGCAAAATAAATGCACATTCTCAAACCAAGGCTCGAAGCTTGCAGAGATCATAAGTAATAATATTGTTGGGATCCAAAGATTCAAACCAGAAATAAACCGGAATGAATCAGTCAACTAAAATACATCCTTTGAGAAATAAACTCAAGCGGGAAAACCAATCTATCCAAACAAAGAGCTGTACAGGAAGGCTAAAGCAAAAAAATCTTCCACGAGGGATAACTCAATGGAGAAATTGAAATGTTATACACTTTATGCTTAAGGTTGACACTCTATTGGAGAGAGGATAACACAACTCTGCAAAATAAGGTAATATGCTAACAAAAAATTAATGAGTGTGTTGTACCCCAAAATTTTCCCTCCCATATTCTTCAGGGTTTGTCAAGAATCATCTCCAAATGGTTCAAGATTTGCTCAAAGATTGCACAGTCCAAATGCCTCATAAGCCAGTCAAAATTAGGGTTTTGTTTCTCTCAAGGAATTTGGGGTTTTCAATGGCTCAATCAAGTCTCATAGGCCTACATACATTCTCAAGCACCTACATGCCAAGTTTCAAGACTCACAATGCCAATTTGCACAGTCAAAAGCTCCATTTGATCCACAATCAACTGCATGGGCAAAATGGTCATTTTACAGTCAAAAGTCAGAATTTTTGGTCAACATCTTATTTTGAGCACACAATCATCATTTGATCAAGTCTTGATCATGATTCCACAAGCATGGCTCAAAAATCATCAAGATGCAAAAAGTTACTATTTTTGGACAGTTGAAAAGTCAACTGTATCTTGACCAAGGCATAACTTTTTCATGGTTCATCAGAAAAATCCCATCCAATGCTCATTTTGAAGGGGGTGACATTTCCTACAAGCCATAATCACATTGAAAAAATTCCAAGAAAACTCAAAACTGTTTTCTACATTCTAGGGCGAATTAAGGACATTTGTTGATTTCAATACACTGCAGGAGGTTCCCAGAACGATTGGCAATCAATTTCCAGCTTCATAGCTCAAAGAATCGCTAGTTATAGAGTCACGGTTTGCGTTTTATCTTGAGAATCGTACAACTTATTTCATGCATAATTAACATGTTCTAATCATTGTTTTGTATTGTTAGAACCCATATAAAGCTAATGGCATAAGTTAATTGGATTAATTTGTACAGAATCGAAAGATGCCATTGATGAATTTTAGGGTTCATAAGCTCCCAAATTAGGGCTTTACAATCCAGGAATAATTAGGGTTCATAATGCACATGGTTGAATTCAGGAGACTCAGGCGATTGCAAAGCCACCCTCGCGAAATATTTATGTTCAACACAGAGCTATTCGCTATTTTTTGTGGTTGCAGTTTGTGGGGGTTAAAACCCCCGCTATCTAACATGTATTTTGCAGGTTCAGTGGAGAAGACGATGATGTGTTGATGTATCATTGGTTCGTTTAAAAAACGCGCGTATATTTTTGTCTTATAGCATAGGCATTAATTCTGATATATTATATTTGCTTATTATCATTATATCAAACGCAGGCAAGTGGTTCAGTGGATGGTGCGCTGGCTGATATCCATTGGGACCTGGGTTCGAATCCCAGGTCCCCCAATATTTGATTCTATTTTTCATAACGTGATCATATGCAGGATTCCCAACGTGTTCCACCATGAACCTCACGCCTCAGCCTGCCATGTGTCTTCACATTCCAATCCAGTGGCCAAAAGATGATGAACACTATGTTCCCTAGTCAACCAATGCCTGGACAATTCAAGAAAGTCAGAAGGGCTTGAGTGTTATTGGGCTTGAAGATTGCTAACACACCTCCTTGTTGGCCCATCACCCCCTTGGTTTCTTTATTCTTTTTTCTTTTATATTTTAAGTTCTATTTAATTCTTTTAGTAATTATTATTATTATTATATAATTAACAAATTAATTATTTTCCTAATAAAATTCAGAAAACTAATATTTTTATTATTATTATTATTTATTAATTTCACCTAAGTTTATTATTTTTGTAAATAAATGTAAATTAATTGATTTAGTCTTCTTTTAATTAGGTTAACTTTGACTTTTTTTCATAACAAATAAAATAAAGTAGAATTAGGTTTTTGACAACTTTTAATCCATTTTATTTTATTTTCATTAAAAACATAAAAAACTAAAAAATACTTTTTCTTTTAATTAATTAAATTAATTAGTTTTAGGTTTAATATTTAACTAAATGCAAAAAAGGACCAAAATTCCATTCTTTTCTCAAAAGGGTCAAAACCCTAGGACTTTCCCAATTCAATTTCTTTTCGCGCATATTTATTTTGATCATATTATGTAATTGTTCCGAGGATGTAATAGCGTAATTAGGACTTTTATCGCTTTCTTTAATTTCTCGCATTTATCTTTTCAAAGGGTTATGTTTTTGGCGATGTAAATACCCGACGCCTGGTAATAGCGTAGATTTACTTTCCGCAATTTACTTTCCGCAAATTATTAACTGTTAACTATGCATGACAAGACTTGCCTGAAAATAAAACTAACTCGTAGCTCACCATAACATGTACAAAGATAACATAAACTGAAACTCGACACACTCGCACATGCCACTCCTAGGGTACGCCTCACTTGGTTGCCTCGACGTGGTCATTGAGTATAGGGTGTTTTAGAGGTCGCCCTCCTGTCTAAAGATCCAAGTTACCTCGAAACGATTGCCTAGGATAAAAAGGATCTAGGACATTAGGGTTACCGCTAAGGCGTCCTACTATTGCTTTGGTGACCACACATGTCCCTATAATCGAATTGACCCAAATAACTCCAACGACGGTGCTACCTACTTCTCAATAGTGGGATAGTACTGTCTAAAGGTTATTTACACAGCTTAATTCCTTAGAGTAGGTAGATTTCTCCTGGGTACTTGCTCTTTCAAAACAAAAAAACCACTTTTCGCACCTACACTTTCAAAAAGTTTTCAAACAAACACTTCATACACTCTTGAGGACTGATACAAGAGTTACCTAGAAGTTTTCAAAATGAAACTTTTTCAAAACCCACAAACACAAGAAAAGCAAACTCTTTTGAAAACATAGTGAGCAAGTACCTAAGAGCCCGTGGATAACTGTTGTACCCCAATTTTTGACCTAAGATCCCATTTTTGTTTTTGCATTTTTAAGATAAGTCAAGGTCACGAAATACGGTCGGTTTTAACATCTCACCTTCGAGCTTTGACTATGTGAGGATTATCAAGTGTTTTGAACATTTCGAGCCTATGTATCACTAATTTCTAATCGCATACAAAAGTGTATGTTCATGTTTTCTTTTGTGTCATGTGCAGAGACAGGTCTGAATCAAGAGCATCAGGTGTCGCGCCTCAATTAAGGTTTTGAGTCTCCCAAGCCCGAAGTACGGTTGATTGTGGATTCTCGAAGACTGAGTCATCAAGGCTACCATTACTGCTGCTGTAGATGAAATTGAGGATAATCTATATTACTTTAGTGATGTGATCTCTGCGGGAATTCCTGATGTTGAAAGGTTAATAACAGACAGCATTCTGACGCTTCTGTTTTTTTCCAGTACTTCTTCCTTCTCCAAGGATAGTGGCTGCTAATCATGTTGACCAGGATATACAAAGTGATGTTGTCACTTCTCTCTACTTACTTTGTTGCATCTTGAGGATAGTCAAGATCAAAGATTTGGCAAATACAATAGTTGCTGCACTTTATGACCCCTTAGAGTCCCTTACAAAATGTTTTGGGGGTCAAGTCAATGGAATGGTACCTGATAATGGTTTTACTTCTGAAGGCGACGGGATAGATAATAATAATAATAATCTTACCAAGAATAATAAAAAAGGCTTGGTAGTCAATGTTCCATGCTCACCTAGTTCTTCAGGTTTTCATCCACAGAGTATCACCATGCTAAATAATGGTAGTAGTTCGAATGTCGCTTTGAGGTACTTAGCTGATCAGTTAACAAAAGTTCAATTAGTTAATGAGGTTAGTAAGGATTTTGTTATTGAGGCACTGAGATCAATTGCGGAGTTGATAACATATGGTGACCAACACGACCCAAGCTTTTTTTTGAATTTTTCATGGAAAATCAAGTTGTGGGGGATTTTGTACGTGTTCTAAAACTTAGCAGGACTATTAGTATTCCACTTCAGTTGCTACAAACTGTTAGCATTATGATCCAAAACCTTCAAAGTGAACATGCTATATACTATATGCTTAGTAATGAACATATGAACTTCCTAATTACATACTCATTTGATTTCCGCAATGAAGAGCTATTGTCATATTACATATCATTTTTAAGTCATCATTGAAGAGCGATAGGTGGGAAATTAAACAAGAATACTATTTCTTTGCTGGTGAAGACTCGCAACGATGAAGTAATTTCATTTCCACTATATGTTGAGGCGATACGCTTTGCCTTCCATGAGGAGAACATGATTCGCGCTGCTGCCCAGACTCAAAAACTATCCCTGCTATGCTGTTGTTCGGGACAGTCCAATGTTGCTGTCTATCTCTAAATTTCCCTGCAACAATAGACAAAAAAAACAATATCAAAACTTTCCCGAAATGTGCAAAAAAACCTGCTACTGCTGTGATGTAAAACCTGTCCAAAAAACAGTATAAACTTTCACAAAATAGGAAATGCCAATCCTGCATCAAAAAGGAAGAATCAGCCTATTACATTTTGTCCAAGACTCACAAATTTTCCCTCCAAAAAATTTCATTCTGAAGGCGGGAAAACAAAGTAAAAAACCTGTAGAAATTTCTAATAACTTTCCTCCAAGTTTAGAAAGCTTCAAGGACATCACCTGCTGAAAAACAAAAAAAACTACAATAAACCAATACACTACCTCTCATCTAACCTCACTCAACTTTATAAAACCATTCACAGTAGACCCTCTAACTAAGATCTCTCATAACTCAAACACCAAACTCCCTTTATTGCTTCCAACGCACAATAGCCACCAAAAAAACGACCCCCTTCATCCTCACATTGCCATTCGCCAACCTTTTACTGTAAACCCTTCCTTTCTCCAATACACTTTCCACCTATGTTCACCTTTCATCAACCCCTGTGGGATAACAACAAACACAGCTGCAAGACTCTTAGAAGTGTTACTGAACAATGTAAAGATTAGAGAAACAAATTCATTATCAGAAAAAATTATTTCAAATTCTTTCAACTCACCTTTTAAAAAAAAATGTTTTAGTGACATCCTATAAACTTTATGCTTCACTCACCGATTTCCATCACAACAACAGTTCCAAATGCAAATGCACAACAACAGTTCCAACCACCGAAACCCACTTCCGGTCACGGAACTTCACTCTCTGTCAAAAGAACGCTCTCAACCTCTTACCACCATTACCGTTCTTCTCCATCATCACAAAACGCCTAGCCCAACAACTTGCTAACCATCAATTTTCGCCAACCCTGTCATGTTTTGCAATACGTCCAATACCCGGTTTCTAGCACGAATCGCTTCACTCCAGTTCTTTCTCTCTACCAACTCAACAACTTCAAGTTGAATGTACTTTCCAGCATAGCAAACCAGTGAAGATGGCATGTTCTATCGCAGTTTGTATGAAGTTGAGGTCTCCAAATACAACAAGCTCCGAACACCAACTCTGTCAACAACTCAAGCATCCTGTTCGCACAACATCCACAACAACAATCCATCTGTATCAACAACAACAACAACCAGAATTGGAGAAATTAGAAGAGGAATTTGTACCTTATGCAGATTACCCTTTGGTATCCTTCTACAATTCGTAACGATTCCGTTTCAACAACAATTGAGATGAGTCTCTGAGGTAAGCTTTAAACCTTAATCTTTTTGCGTCTGAGTATGTAAACGAATTGCCATGAATTATTGATACTGCGAGTGGTTCCGTGAGATCGATGAAGAATCTAAAATCCGAAACGCGATGATGATAGAGGTTTTGTCTGGTGATGCGGAGTTGAGGTTGATCAGAAAGAGAGGACGAAGCGGCGGAGGGAGTATTGGCTGGTGCTTTGGTTGAGATGACGGCGAGAGAGGGTATTTAGACTGGTTCCTTTTTTTCTTTTTTTTGTGCTGAACAGAAGAGAGGACAAAACAGTGAGAGGGAGAGGCGTTGATGGCCTTTGCCATTTTAGGGTTCATTTAACCCATGGCCTTTTAGTAAAGGAGCGGGTCCGGACCCGACCCGGTTCGGCCCGGTATAACTTTTGTTTTTTTGCTTTTAGTTGTTTTTCTTTTTATTTTATATTACTTCTATCTTGGGCTATATCCTAATCAGTAAGCCCATCCGAAATTGATTGATATCACCACCCTTATTTTCTGTTTTCACATTACCCTTTTGTTTTTACTCGATTTAGTTTTAATCTATTAACATTAAAGTTTCGTTTCAAATTTAATCCAATGACTTGAAAAATATAGAGTAAGTTAGATTTAATATTAGGTTGGTTAGTATAATCATATAAAATTACAAAAAAAAACTTTCCTTTTTTTTAATTAGAACTAATTATTTTTAATTTTAGAATTATTGTAGTAATTTTAATTTTAGTTTAGTTAGTAAACTTTAGAATTTTAATTTAATCTAGATTTAACCTAACAACTTTAGAATTTCTGTTTTTTTAATATAGTGAATTTTAGAATTTTTATTTGTTTTAGATTAAATTTAGTAACCTTAGAATTTTATTTAGCTTAGATTAATTTGCTAATATCAAATTTTAATTTTAATTTAGATCTAGTGTAGTAATTTTAGAATCATTCTTATAACTTTAGAATTTGTAATTAGTTTAGAATTATTTTAGTCAGTAATCTTAGAATTTTTACTTAGATAATTAGTTCTATTTTCTTCTCTTTAAATATCTTTGTCATTTTAATTTCTCGATCCTTTTGATCATTAGTCTGTTTTCTTGTGAATTTTCGAATGTTTATACTTTATTGGTTCATCTTATTTTATTTACTCAATTTACTCCAAGGAAAATATTTAAATTTGTTGACTTCACGTCATCAAATACATCCCATCCGATCGTGCGAATACCCTTTTTTTCATTTTTTGTTTGTTTACTATTTTGCTAAACTCAAGATAATTTTCCCAAAAAGATTCCATTTTCAAACTCACACCTTTTAAGTCAAACTTCGACACTAGGTCGTCGTATCTCCAAAAATCTCATCCATACCCATTTTGACCAAATAAACCATTTTAATCAAACAAACAATTTTAACCAAAAACAGATATTCCAAAAGGTTCCTGCGGAGTACCGCAGATGCATTGGGTGCTAATACCTTCCCATTGTATAACCAACCCCCGAACTCTCGATCTCTTTCAAAAACGCATTGTATTTTTTATTACTTTTAAGTCTTATTTTACATTGCGTACTTTAGGGTTTTATTTCGCTCTTTTCCCTTTTCCCTTGGAAATAATAAAGCGCGGTGGCGACTCTTGCTTTTTGTGAGTCAAGTTAATTAATAGCTTGATCTCCGATTTTCACCGCTACAGAAATGGCGACTCTGCTGGGGAAAGATTGACCTCTTGCTGGTCCATCCCTAAGTGGGTTAAGCCTAATTTGTCATATTTGTTTTTTTGTTATTATCACTTGTTTGTTTGATTTTATGTGTATATATTATGATTATTTGGGTGTTGATAATATTTACAAAGGACAAGTCCTATACCCGGACTAAGTTATACTTAGGAATAGGACGGGCGGTATAGTCATGTTAACTTTGAGGGAGTAATCCCGAAGAAGGAGGCATGAGATCCCCCACTCAGTGGAAGGCCCTTTTGAACGTAATATTTGTTTACCGAGTAATCGGGAAGACATTATTATTTTCGACCTGGGAGCCAGAGAAGCTGGGAACCGTAGAACCCTAACCCATCTTGGCCTTTTAGGTGTAGCGCGGAGATTATAACGGAGTAATCCGGAAGTAATTGTTACACGATGCTACGCTCGGATGAGTTTCTCTTGAGAATATTGCTGATTATTGAGTAATCAAAACGTTGGTAATATCCGAAGGAGGAATGTAGACTCCGGGAACTCTTAGAACCTTGTTCTACAGGTGTGATTAAACCGTTAGTACATACCTTGGGGGTGTTCCTTACCTTGACTCCATGCTCGTGACGTTGAACCTTTCAACTTTATTTGTGACCTTGCTTGTGGTTGTTGCATAGCCATGCATTCATGCATCCATAAAACCCTTTTCACTTGACTTTCAAGGAATTTGAAGGTCTTTCTTTGTAAACATCACAAGTTTCGTCAAGCTCAATGGATCTTGGGTGTTGATAGGGTGAAAACCCTAATCCACCAAAATGGATGATTGATCTTGATGATAACTTGATCAACGCTTTGATCCAATTTAAAATTCATCTTCTATCTTCATACTTTGATGTTTACAACTTAATATCTTGAGTTCCTTGAAAATCAAATGAAAACTCTCTTTTGCATATCATACATCATTCTACATTTTTTGTTTCACTTTCAAAAGTCTTTTTCCGAGTCTTATTTTTCCTTTGGTCTCACCAGTACAACACTCACGCTAAGAGAACAATGGAGAATATCAAGCAAGAAGTTTTTGAACTCCGTAGAGAGATGACTAATTTGAAAGCTAGTGTGGAGCACTTAACTGGTTTGGTCGAAATTTTGGTTGCCGCCCAAGTCAATCCTTCCAGGAGAGAGGAAGTGATGATAAAAGTCTTCACTGAAACTCTAAAATCATTCTCTCATGAGAAGGTGATGGTTAATGCACCTAATGACCTTCCTGACAAGGTGAATGTGGGAGTGCGTCTTGAAGAAGATGTTGGGAAGGGATGTTCATATGAAGATGGTAGCTCAGCTAATGGTGTGAAGAAGTTTGATAATGACTTTTCCAAGAAGAGAACCAGAGGAAGAAATAATCATCATCATAATCATCATGTTTCTCCCATTTATCAACAGAATCAGTAAGTTCCTAATCAGAGGAAAACCCAGTTTGATCCAATTCCAATTACCTATATAGAGTTGTTCCCTATCCTGATGCAGAGGAGTTTGGCTCAGACCCGACCTCCACCGAAGGTTCCTGAGAAGATACATTGGTACTACAAAGCTGATTTGGCTTGTACTTTTCATCAAGGTGCTCCTGGGCACGACT